GTGTGTGTGTTTGTGTGTGTGTGTGTGTGTGTGTGTGTGTGTGTGTGTGTGTGTGTGTGTGTGTGTGTGTGTGTGTGTTTGTGTGTGTTATTATATGTGTGTGTGTGCGTGTATGTATGGAACATGTGTGTGAGTGTGTGTGTGTTTGTGTGTGTGTGTGAGTTTGTGTGTATGTGTGTCTGTGTGTCTGCGGGTGTCTGTGTGTGTGTCTGTGAGTGTGTTCGTGTGTTTTCCCTGAAATTATCTAAAATTCAGTTGCAATCAGAAAAAATCGTTTTACTATAAGTTAAAAATTTGTTGACTTGTCACTTTGAAATAAATAAAGAAATAAAATTGAATTATTAAAAAACAAGTTTGAGAATAAATAATATTATTAATTATCAAAAATAAAGAAGTCGAATTTGAGTAAAGAAGACCAACAGCTAAGGGGAAACAACTCCAATATTGTTATCTACCACAAACATCAACAAAACGGATTATTTAATCAATGAATACCGAAAGTAGAAGCAGAAGCAGAGAAGATCATGTATCATGGCTTTGAGCACAGAAGCTGAAGCAGAATTGGAGGTTTTGCACGCTTTCTATTGTAAACCAGATGAAATTCTCGAACAAGAAGGTAAAGCAAAGTTGTTCCCGCATCTGATGCGGTCATTCGCTCATTCGGGATGGCCTTGTTGTAGCCCTGAGATTCCGCTACAACTGCTATAGATTCTCTAGCCCTTCGGCATATTATATTGTGGTAGGGTGGCCAGTTCCTTTCCGCCTTTACTTCCCCATCTCGAAGTCAGGTACCCATTACTGCTGGGTGGGCAGGAGGGGGCGAAAAAAAAGCGTGTCCGAACCGAGGCTCCAACCCAGACTCCCCGCTTCGGAGACGAGCGTACTAACCGCTCCGCCACCGCACCCTGGAACAAGAAGGTAGTGATTGTTAACTAATTATGAGGCTGGATGGAACTTTGGTGGACCCACCATGTTTACATCATGTATTAATGCGCACTAGCCATAACAACAGTGGGGGGTTCAGGAGGGCTTGCCCCCCTGTTGCATAAACAAAAGAAGGGGTAGATCTAGATCTAGAAATGTAGCAGCAGGACTTTTTGTTCAGCTCCGGTAAAAACACAATTACATTAATTACAAAACGAAGTGGCTAACTCAACAAGTTAGCTGTACGAAACTTAGATCTAGGTCTATCTCTAGCCTAAGTACAGCTAGCCCTACTTAAGATAGGCCGTTAGGCCCAACTGACTGAAACCTGTTGAGTACACTTACAGATCTCATTAGATCTAATCTAGATCTAAGTAATTTTTCAGGTTTTAAAATTTTTTCGTCAGTTTGGAAATTTTTATTGAATTTTTTGGCTCAACCTCTATAAAAACACATTTGCATGTGAACTTTACTGAAATACATTGATTATACAAGGCACTGTAAATATAGATCTATATGTCATTTTTCTTTTTTCAAGGACTCTTTAGCTATTGGAGTTACCTAACTTTGGAGGCCATTTTCTCGCTAATTTCACGCCTGAAACCAGATGACCTCACTTACTTCAATCTCAAATATCTTGAGTTCTAGTCAAGATAGATGGGTATTTCTTTTAGACCTATTGAAATCAAGGCAGCATACAGATGATCAATAACTCAACATGCCCAAAAATTGACGAGCGCCTGATTCCACGGCGTCGTGACACATAAAATCTATACGAGATAATAATATTTAGTCGACAGCTAAATTTCAAATGAATAATACCAGCACCAATTTATTTATTTATGTCAATATTGCCAATGGTGTCATTAGAGTTGGTGTTAACTTTAAAATTGTGACTTGGATTGAAAGTTTCAGGAGGGGGGAAAATCTGTTATTCTTTCTTTTTAAGAGTGACGTTTACTTCCTGATATCTCCATACTGTCCCACAGAATCTTCCAGAAGAGTGGTCACTGTCAAGTTGGATGTAACCGACTCAGCTGCTGGTATCGGAGGACAGGATCTGTCTGATGTGCTCAGTGCCGTTGTGTGCTTTACTGTACCTCACACATACCCAAGGCCCGGCCTGGAGCTGCGAGACGTTCACAGTTCTGTTCTCACCGACCACGCTCGGCTGAATATAAAGCGACAACTGAGGGACAAGTTAGTGGAAGGAGAAGACATTTCAGCTCTAGAGTTCTGTAGTTTTGCTCAACAACTTTTAGACGAAGAAGTTACCAGAGCGCATGGATCAAGAAGCTCTTTTGGATCTAAAGATTACCCTCACACCGATATTCATCATCAGTCTAGGAGAGAAGCTGACTGGGAAAGTAGTGAAAACAGACATGATGACCTTGACAGCAGCAAGGTGAGAAAAGATGAGCAGCAGCTGTCAGGTCCCGCAGATGTGAAAGACAGAGCCGAGTTGGTCGAGCAAGAGTGTCGTGCGTCTCCACCCACACTCCACACTGCGCTGTTTCACTTGGACCACATGAGGTCTCGTCAGAACTACGTGAAGCTGATCAAGAAATGGGTTGATGAGCTGGCACTGTCCGGTCGTCTCATATTCTGCCACAGATTCATCCTCATATTAATGCAGGGGGAAGCTCAGTCCATCAAAGTAAGGAAGTTAAAACAATTAGCAGTTTTATGTATATATAT